GAGGGGCTGGTTTAGACCCGCTCCCCGCAGAAACACTGGTGCATTTTGTTACTCTGGCAGAGCGATGTAAAGAAATACGCGACCCTCTGGACGCAGAAATAGATGCGAGGCACGCGTCGTTATGTCACTGCTTGAATCCTTGCCCAAATCCCACTGCTCCTGCGCTCATTCGGCATCTTGCAAAGTAAAGGACTATTACGTATTACCCACACAATTGAAAATGTGTCTTTTACAAGAGTATTAGTTTAGTTCTGTATATCACCATTAATTCAGTTTTTGATATTTTTAATCTATCTAAAGCAAATGCTTCAGTGTTTCATTTAATTTATTTTCAAATTTTTAGGTTTTGGTGCAATTATTACCTTGAAACCTACATCGGTAATGTTCACAATTCTTCAAAAATACTGCCATTTGAACTTTAGTCATGTACCAGAAGAAATATCACATCAAAATATTTTCTTGCTTTATCTCTACAGCTCCTGAAAAACTGCATCTTGTGATCTTGGATACAAATGTACTGGAGAAAGCAAAACCACATGAACAGAGACCTTAAATGGCCACTGTGATCTGTAACAGTCTATACATACGTTATATACATATGACTCTTTGAGAGTCTGTATTCATGAACGTGTACAGTCTACATACTGCACAAAGTTTATTTGTTTGAGGGTTTTTTAATTTTTTTTTTTTTTAACTATTGTCAGAAACAAGGAGAACAACCTCGTGGTGGCACCGAAAACATGTGGTTACTGGATTTAGTCTTACCCTCCCAGTGCCACTGCTCATTAACCATGAACTGATTTTGCAAATCTGTCACTGAACACCATAATTTCCACATTTTTTTCTCATTGCATTTGCACATGTAACAAATTGGTACAAATGTTTACAACAAAACGTAAAGTTCATTGATACAATGCCTTTCATGATGGCCAAAACTAGTTACTAGCCAACTCTTTAGTTTTTTAGAGACATTTTTAGCTGAACTTGGAAAAATAGGAAATGTATTCTAGCTTAAAATAAATGTACATAATATACAATATATATATATTTATACACATGTGTATGTCTACATACACATATATTGATATAACATTTAAAGTAATGTTTAGTTTTGATCAGTTCTCTGAGTGCTGGGACTACCTGGCAAATAAATCTAGAAACGGAATTCATCCACAATTAAATAATCATTTCCACAACTTAGAAAAATATACTTTTACTAAATAAGGCTTAAATTAACTGACTTATGGATATAGCATGGAGGATAACGGTTTCCAGACTCTGGCATGCTTAAATCTGAAAGTACCCAAGCTACTACAAACCAGTAACAAACACCGTCCCGCAGCCAAACACAGAGGAGCACAGAAACAGAAGCTGCCGCTGCAGCCATCATCGGTGGTGGCACCCAAACCCGCTCTGGTTCGGTCACCTCTTATATCGGCTTCGTTTCCACCCAATGCAAGTCACCCACCCGACCTGATGCTCTGTTACTTAAGGCCCACTTCAACCTCAACCAGGCAGCACAGTACACCACCGCCTGCTGCCTGATGTGAGCAGCTCCCCGCTTCCACCCAACTCTTGCCTTGAGAACTAACGTATGACCAAGGTCCCTAATTAACGACTTTTGGAGGACCATCAGTACTTGAGCTTCACCATATGGTTTTTAATCTACTGCATAGGTAAATATATTATAGCAAAACATACGTGTGTGTGTGTGTGTGTGTATACATCCCTACATAAAAAATTTCATGGAGCTAGATGTAGTAATGCGATATACCATGGTATCTTGCACATGTTATCCGATTCTTTTTTTTTTAAATATATAGGCACCAGAAATAGGTATGTAGAGCAAATCAACCTTTAAAAATTAAAGTTAAATCAGTGGACAAGAACTTTGGTAAAGCTTGTCAATATTTATTTTTTTTTTTATTCAAATACAGTCAAAGTCTATCAGTTGCCATCACCCTCTTCACAAGAGGAAAGTGCATGTTTGGTTTTTTTTTTCTAAAGAAAACTACATGTAAGGTGGGGCTTAACGATTCAAGAAAATTCTGAATTAAATGTTTACATTTTTCAAAAGATTACTACATTTCTCTTGGAATGAAAGCTAAATAGAGTTCTTGTCCCATGTGTATTTTATTTATTGTACACACATATATATATAAATATATATATATGTACGTCTCTGTTTATGTACCTTTGTGTGTATATACACATCCACAAACTTTTAACATGAGAGAGGAACCTGTTTTTCTCCACTTTGAATGTGGAGACTTACATGTTCCTGCCTGTCTTGTACCCTGTGCAGTATAAGCTCTAGTGATGAGGCCAAACAAAAAGATATAGTTCACCATAGTATATTAGTTTATGTAGCAAAGTCATTTTCAAGCAAGTAAAATAAAGCTCTGTATTCCAAACTTCTTTTCCTTTACATTTCTCATAAAGAAAAGGAAGGAAAAGGAAAGAGGGGAGGGAGTAGGATTATGGCAGTAGCATTGAGCCAGTGGCACACGTGCGTGTGCGTGTGCGAGCGTGCAAGTGCACGCACCCACACAAACACACCCCCACACACACACACGTGCACAGAGAGCAGGGCTTTGGTTGACAAATGCAGATTGTCCAGAGAAGGTGGATGCATAAGTAAGGAAGACTCTACAGTGATGCAATTGTATCTTTTATGTTTGCATGGAGTGAGAAAACAAATTCAATTGAGGGGGGGAAAAAAAAAAAAAGCAAAGACCTCTTTTTAGGTCCCTCATCAGCGAGAGCATACTCAGTATGCTAGAGAATTTATCTGAAACCTTTTAAATCAAGGCCTCTTTATTACAAAAATAAAAACGAACAAACAAAAAAGTATGAGAGACGACAAGATGCTGAAGTGTCACTCCAATCGTCCCTGCAGAGAACAATTGCATCCCATTTATTATTCATTCTCTTCTCTCATTTCTACGATGTCTGTCATTTCCTCTGTGTGAGGCATGTCGGTCATTGCAGAGTCTTCACCTTCTGTAGCTGTTTCATTCTCATTCCGCTTCTTTTTCTAGATTGAAACAAGTATTCAGACACCTATCAGTAAGTTGTACGTGAACACAGTCCTACAAACTTTGGGCACTGGGAGAAGCGAGGTGCAAATAAGTGGTTTTTTTTTTGGTTTAGTACATTATTAAGAGCTAGAATATTTGTGTCATATTCACGGCTTGTCACTAATAAGTTGTCTTAACTTAGAAGGTTTCCATAACCTTCCTGGGGCTCAGCTTTCTCCTTTCTAACATAAATGCAACAATAGAGGCATTTCTTATGCTAAGCAACATCCAAAACAGGCTTCAGCATGACTGGAGGGAAGAGAGCATCTGGAATGTTTTACATCACAGACTTTTTATTTAAAAAAAACAAACAAAACAACAGAAAAGCAAACAAAATACAAGAGAAGATAAGCTGCTCTATGGGGAGAGGGAGAGGTAGCAACCGAATTTCTCAAATATTAAACTTCAGGAATTTTACAAGATGTAAGCATTCTGACATTTCTTGGTATTGCTGATCCGCTATGATTCCTCACCCCACCAGGGCCAAGTAATATTAAAGAGTATTTTTGGCCAGCAGGAGCAGGAGGGCATTCAAGAGTCCTATGATTCATCCAGGATGTCCTGGATTAGTAAAGCTAAGAAGCATTCAGCCCCACTACAAAACAACTTGAAGCATCTGTTCCTTATTATCCATTTCTCAGCAGGCTGACTAGTTTTACAGAAAACACTTGTACAGCTGACAAAAAATCCCCCACAGGTATTATTGATTCAGCTGAGTTGGGCATATCAGAGCTTTGAAATTTCAGAGTTGTCTACACAACACTTGATTCACAGCTCTCAAACATCGCCCACTTATTACCGCTGTAGGTGAAAACAAGTTGGTGTATACAGCTACTGGTGGGTTCTGCCATTGTCACACTGGTCGTTGAGATGATGCTGTCAGCTACATACTAATTCTGGTAAGGGAGTAAGTTAGGTTGGCACCACTACCTGCACTCATCACTGCAAAAAATTAAGCACCATGTCCCTGGCCAGAAACACTCTATGAGCTACTACTGTAACAAAAACGTGACGAGGAGGTTAGTCCAAACTGTGTTGTGAAACCACAGGCCAAGAACAGCCATTGCAGTATCTACAGGTTTTACTCTTTGATGCTCAAGAAAAACATGACAGACTAATGACAGAGATCAAGGTCTTCTATTTTCTGATGAACCTTGTACGCTTTGGTCTACTGCCATGGCCCGCACTGCTAATACATATCAAAACTGGGTTTAGTTTGTTCCAATGTAAGGCTTTCAGATATTCCATGTTCTGTATTTTTTTTTTGCTAAAAATAGAAGCAGTGGGCATCTTTGTCTGGCCTTTAGTAAGAAGTCTAATTAGAAAGATGAAAGTAAATGCATAGATTATATTTTCTGCTCCCATCTACAGAGTCCTTCTGCACCATGCAATGATGTATGCACTGCGACGCTTCTGCCTGGAGTTGGGCCTGGTGCCCTACACAGTGACTTGTGCACTTAACTGGAAGGGCACAACACACAGGTACTGTGATGTACCCAGTCACCAAGCCAATATTTATCCTATGTTTGACTTCATTTAGCAGAGTATCCTTTGAAATCCATGTACTGCTATTACTCTGTACATGCAGGACTGCAGTGTGTGAAATATGTCAAAGTATGCCTATGAGAAATCCTCGCCTGTCGAAGTATTTGTAAGCTCTTATCGTCCACTGCTGCAGGAGTGTATCTTGTCTTAAGACACTTTTTTAGATGGGGAAAAAAAAAAAAAAACAACCGTACTTTTTGTCCATTTTCAGCAGAGCTGCTTTTATAAAGAAATAAAAGTATACATACATATATATACAAACACATACACGTGTACATGTAGTAAGTTTGGATGAGTAGTTCCTATGTCTACATAAAGAAGCTATGTTGTACTGTAGTAGCAGATTTACAGTGCAAAACGGGTGGTGACAAGGAAATGATACCCATGTTACACATGTTTTGAGGGGCAAGAGTTTACTTCAGACCAGCGGGTGCCATGGCCTGAATGCCCACTAGCAGTTAGATGGCACCTTTTGGTTTTATTTCAACCCAAAGAATTTCCAAGTTGCACACTCTTGAGACTGCATGGGGAAGCAAACTAAATTCAGTAAGTGGAGATGCTGGGGAGTTACATTTCAAAAGTGTAGTTTCAATCTGAACTAAAATCATCTATTCATCAACTATATTCATCAACTGCTTTCACCAGATCCTGCAGAGACTAATTCTTACCTGTTTCCGATAGACATAACAGGCTGCTATTGCAACCATGGTGGATTCTCCTACAAAACCAGCTAGAAGGGATCCTACTCCAAGAGTGGCTCCATGAACTCTGTGGGCAGCATAAAAAGAAAGTAGTCATGGTTGTGTGAGAATGCGTGATTCATAATTTTATTTCCACTGGCATATAGAATCAATCTCTTGTTAGAAATATTTCCTTCAAAGACATAATAGACTGTCAGAGAGAATAACTGGTATTTTAAAGGACTTTTTTTGTTTCTTAATGGCTTCACTGTTTAGTAAAAGAAACACATTCTGAGTCAAATTATGGACTAAGAATTTAAAGTCTTATACAGAGTGCTGTAGAATAGATTATTTAACTTACAAACAAGGTATTTTTCCCTTAGTTTTCTTAACAGAATGGAAATAAATTCCCCTTAGGGCATGTTTTTGCCTCTCTGGCATTTGTGCATTTTTTCAAAAGGATCATCATTATCACGCCTGCCTAGAGCAAAGTCACAATTGTGAATTTGTAAATGTTTCTTTTCCAGATATTGACACTATTTAGGCTTTATATTACAGTTAGTATTTGGGGAAAATGTTCTGAGATACACAAATTCAGCTATCAAGTGACAGGAAATGGGAATGAAGAGGAAAGCAAACCCATCAGCTTTTTAGAGAGGAGAAAGATTTACCCCAAGTAAGGCAACACAATGAGACTAGCGATGAGGACGATAATCCGCAGCACTGAGCTGGGTGCCAACACAAATGTCTTCTTCAGGGTCATCAGCCAACCAGTCAAGTGCGCTCTGACAGTCACTGTTCATAAACAGGGGAAGGGGAGGGGATGGGGAGAAAGGGAGGCAAGAGTAGTAAAAAAAGTCAGTCACTTCATATGAAGCTTTTTCATGCAGAGAGCACTGTTCAGAAATAACCACGGCCATCTTTTTTTTTTTTTTTTTTTTTTTTTTACCTGGGAACCCGCGCACTTTTTTTTTTTTTTTTTTTTTTTTTTACCTGGGACTGGAAAGAAGGAGAAGATGCGCAAAGGAACAACACACAGCTCTGCAAAAGCGAAGTCTACTCCAATTATGTCAACTAAAATCTTCTCTGACACGTTTGGCGTCCAAAACATCACAAAACAGAGCTAGGAAGAACAAAATTAAAAAATGTTTATAATTCAGAAGGGAAGCACAACAAACGATAGAACCTCCTGGTCCAAAAGATTTGTTTACTGTGCTGACGGGTATTTTTGGTATTAAATGAAGGATGAAGATGGATACAAAGTAATAAAAATAAGTTTGCTTTTCTGCACTATTCAGGGATCTATAGTATGCAACAATTAAGGTTTTAATCATCACTAAGACAGGCATATTTTATCACTAAATTTAATCACTATTTAACTATTCTCCTGTTTCTGCTTCTTTGCACATAGACTGAGGAAAGAAAATAACAAAACTTACGTGTTAAGCAATAGTCCTGACTCAACAGTTTATGAAGCAGTCATTAAAACAAAATATCGCACACATGCAAACCTAACAAAATATTTCTTTGCTGGACTTGGATTCTACCAATTCAAATGTTATGGTTTGATCTGACTGTGACCAAGAAGAAATTGGAGGGAAGCTTTGAAATGATTCTTCAGAGAGCCATCCCAACTGTCAACAATACTCGTCTTTGACTTAAGTTGAGGATGCTGAACGCTCCAAAAGTCACATCCAACTTCATTGTTCTTGATAAAGGGTGGAAAACAGATAAAAAATACCGGAAAAGAAACAATCACCAGCAAGATTCATAGTCAGAATTATTTTCCTTTACTTTGAGAAATGTATTCAAAGCAATGTATTTGCAACAATTGAAAGATATTTTCAAATATTTAAATGCAGTAAGACTCTAGTGTACAGAGTATATTTGTACTCAGCTTGCATTCAAATACACAGAGTACACAAGTGTACATAAGAGAAGCATATTGACTTCAGAAGCAACTCCTAGTCTTCAGGCCCTGAACATACCAAGACTGATGCATACAGAAAGAATTTTTACGGTACCTGCAAATGGTTGTACTTGAATGGTCTAATTGCTACAAAACCAGTAAGAACTCGATTTTTACAGTACTTTCCCTGTTAAGACACCTATATTCCTAAACAGATTATCAAATGTTATAGTAACTAAAGACTTTAAGTACTCCAAGACCCAGAGATCTGACCTAAATCTAAGATTAGGGGTTTAAACATGCTGCCGATACTAGCACTGTTAGTATGTAATACGCCTGATAGTCCTGCAGACCTGGTGCCTTCAGGCTGCAAATCTGCCAGGTCTTGTTATTTTGAATAGAGTCCATACATGAATGGAAAACTTCCACAAAAAGTCCACAAGGAATGGTACAGTGGTAGTACATGCTGTTTAATTCTCTGTTCAGTCCTGAGGCAAGGCTTCAGGCCGGGCTGAGGGGGCTCTTAGCAGCTGGTGGGTCCAGATCCGGTTCAAGGCACTTGCCAAAGAAGGGTGCTGACAGCCCTTAGAGGAGTTTTTCTTTAAGAATGGGTACCTGACGTCCTTTCAAGTATAACTATTTTGTTATTTAATTTGGTTTTGCGAATCAAAAAGTGATTTTTTTCCTGTAAAGCAGATGTTAATGAAGCAAGCTGACTGAACAGGGCAAAACGTGGAACCTTAAATGCTCTGGCACTCCTCTGTCAGGTTACAAACCAGTGTACCAAGTAAATTATGCACGCTGGCTGTACAATCTGATGGCTCTGTAACACTCTATAACCACCCTCTTATAATTTAGCCTACGAGTTAGCATCATAGTATCTAGCTCTTATTATCCAGTTGTCACATCCCTACGTGTTCAGAGGGCTGTTAAAGCTAGTCTTTGAAGTCCTACCACCTCCAAGGCAGCTGGGATTTCACTCTCATTCTTTGGTTGTGCGCCACAGATTGTCCTTTCTGTTTAGCCTACGAGTACCCACACCACAGAAATTTCCCAAAGTCAGCGACCGAGTGGCCCGTGGGAGGTCCTGTGTTCTGACAGCCAGAGTGGTGAACAAATCATTTCACCTTCCTCCAAAAAGGCTCATCCTCAGTTTTCTTCCCCACTTCTTAGGGTCGGAACCACTACTTTTTTTTTTTTTTTTTTTTTTTTTACAATTGAATGTTTTGCTTGACTAATTTGATACTGTCTTGTGGTATATCTCCATTATCTGTACACAGAACAGTTAAGTGGAGGAAGGTAAGAGCAGAAGACAAATGAACTGAGCATGATTTTTTTTCTGCTTTAGCCAGCACTTCTCTCCCTGTCAAACTACAAGTACAGGGTACAACTGAAGCAGAGGGGACAATCCAGAGCAGAGGAGGTTGTGTGGTTGAGAATCCAACAATTTAAAAGTAACTGTACACTGACAAAGAAAATTCTTTCATTGTCACTGATGTCATTACGCAGACTGCAGTTCTTTGTAGTCTTACTGCAAATGACCTCTAAAGCAACGATATAGAGCATATGTTGTCAAATCATTCTTCAAAGTCCAATAGACAAAATAAGATGCAAAGATGTCCACTCTTCAATGATAATTTGCTGTTTTCATGAAAGCAAAGACCTTTACACTGCTTGCTCTGCACAATGCCATTAGCATCCTGCTAAGCAGTATAGTTACTGCTGCTGCAAGATTCCATACATTTACGCTAACAGCAGTCTGCCCACCGCTACCAAAAGGCAAATACAGCAGCTTTCCTTCCTCAACAGCCGCCTGGAAGAGTATTCTAACATGGTTAGACATAAGTGACCAAAAGTATTGTTTTCAATCCTGTTCTCTTTGAAGTTAAACTTTGTTTCTGGCCTTACTAAGAACAGACTCAATCTCCATACAGCTCCTACAGGAGGAAGGTCAGTTTGCAAATCAGGGGTAATGACTTATACCCAGGTGGTATGCAGTCATTCCTCCTCAGCTGTTGCAAGCTGCAGTGCTCCCCGCTCCCCTGATCAGCAGCGAGTCAGTGCTGAAACATGGCTTCAAAGAGCACTTCTTATATAGCAGCTGGTGGGTAAAGGCAGCAGTGACTGCTAAGCTCAAGAACAAGCAGTTTGAGGAGGTGAGGCCCGGCAGCAGAAGGACCTTCTATTTCTGTCTCAGCATGTTTCCATCTTTTGGTTGCAATATTGATAACCAGTTTCATTTTGCAGAGATTCCTCTATCATTTTATGAGCAGATGATATTCTCATTGCCCACAGGGGACAAGCTGCAGGAAAAGAAATTAACACTTTACATCACGCAAGCCCTCTGCAATTTAATTTTTAGAGCACTTGGAACTCAGGAAGTTTCCATGTTATTTCAAAGACAAGTTCAAAATGTAGTAGAAAAAACTAGGCTCTACTTCAGGAAAACACTAACCCTGCAAAGGCGGGAAGGTATCTCGGCTACCGATTCTATTACAGATGAGGTATACTGAAAATAGGATGAAGTCTTAGGGAGTTTCTGTGATGCTGAGTGGTCTGTATGATGTTTGTGATTACCTTGGTACAGGGTGAAGACTGATCAGAAAGGGGAGCAGAGAAGATGCTAACAGATTAAATGATGCAAGTAGTCCAGTGAAACAGGGAGCGTGGCCCACACAATTAGAGATGGGATCTACTCAGGAAAGATTTTAGGAAACAGATTTACCTATACTATAACTCCTATCTTTCTTTTAGGTAAAAGAAAGTTTGTTTTCCCCTCCCCCATACGTCTTTCTGTGTGTGTCGGCAAGGTTAAAAATAGAATAAAGAGGCTTGGGTAGGGTTACAGTTATACCTTCATGTAATCTAATCAAGAGGTGAAAATGAAAGAGTAAAAGCTTCTGCAGAGGCTAGCAACACACAGTGTATAATGGCACTGCAGCTTCAGGTTGCAATTCCAGTTGGCTGCAATGGCTATGTACAGCAATGAATATCGTACTTGGCAACTCTGCTGAGGCTGAAGCATTTTAACGCTTTGGGAGTGGGAACTTTTAATGCTCTGGGGGTAAGGATTTTGCTCATGGAATTCTAGCAACAGAGTTGATTTGATTTTCTGTTGTCATATGGTATGAGTACAGCATGATATTAAAGGAAAGTTTTGTTACAGCCTTTGATAATTTAAAAAGAACTTCAACTGAGCATTGATGAGTGCTTTACAAATACAGGAAAAAATTAAGATATGAACAGCAGAGTGGAACACTACAGAGAATCTGCAGGCCTCAGTAATGACAGTAGTATTTATTTTGGTGGTGTTATCTCCATATAAACAACAGTAGCCTAAGCATTTCTGGACATGTTTTAATCATTTGAACTGAGCTGAAGGGCTGTGCTATTGGGTAATGTGTCTTCAACTGATCTACAGCAGTAAAATATGAAAGACTTTATTAAATATGTCAATAATTTATGGTGGTATAAGAAAACCCGTACAGCTGTACTAGATCAGACCAAAGCTCCAGCTAGACCAGTACCACCCCCCTGCTAAAGGCGACTGGTGGTCACTCGGGGAAGGGCACAAAGAGCAGGGCAAGGGCAGAGTAATTGATGCCCTTTCCCAGATGAGTGGTCTGAGCTGCTGGCAGTTACAGCTTCAGGAGTTCAGCAACTGTGGTGCACCTTCATCCCATGCAGCGTTATGTTGTGCATACAAAATACCTGATATTTATGATTTATTTTTTTTGCAATCCAGTTGTGCATTAAAAAAGTGAAAAATACCCTCTCACTTGTGGCTTAGACACTCTCCATAACTAGGTGTGCATACTTTCATGTGGAACCTTGCTATTCTCAGCTAGAATATCCAGTACCTAGGCATGTTAAAAGGTTACACATCAAAAACTTCTGCTGTCAACAAGCCTGAGAGAATGCACCAAATCTTTGTTTCGGCCTGGAAAGTACCAAACTGCTGGTGCTCAGTCCAACTTCTCTTTAATCTCTTAAGTACACTTCATGCATTTGACTTTCACAAATGATTGTCGCAAAAGACTATTCATGAGAGTTTGTTTCAGATGCTGCATGTGTGAGTTTTAATGCTAGTAGCTCTTGAAAACTAACAGTCTTTTCATAGGCTCTGCATCTCCTGGAAGCTATTTCCATTTATTCTGGTTGCTGACAGGGATTACTAAACCTCAGAGACCCACTACATAATGCATTATAATATA